AATATATGGGGCGGAAAATTTATCATAAATCTAAAAGGTGGCTAAATGATAGAAAAACAGAAAGCAAATGTAAAGTAAAGAAACCATCCTGTGTACCAAAAAAATATTAGATAAAATGCAAAGGTAATGTTGTTTTAAGTAATTGCTCAAGCGGATTTTTTAAAGCAGTTTTATATATGCTTTAAATTTAAGGAATATATATTTTCATACATTTTGTAATTCGTCTTTCATTTTTCAGCATTTTTTATGGACTTTATTTAAATAATATTCGTTTTGGGACTCGTTCTGTGACTTGTTTAACACTCCCTGATGCCCGTTTTCCTTTCTTGTCTGTGTATTTATCAAATTTTCTATTACCCAAAATCATTTATGTCCGAGTTCACATGCATAAATTAACAGATGCATGCATTTGATGAAATTTAGCATACCACCGCCGCAAAGGGCGAACGGGGGCACAAAAAAATTAAATTAATATTTATTACGCACATTTTGGTTGATTCGGTTTTGCACTTGGTTGCACTTCTCCCACGGACTAGACACGAACATGAAATTGGACAGGGAAATGGACATGGTTACACCCAGATGAACATGGACATGCAACATGGACAGCTTGCATAAATATTTAGTTGGGGCAAATAGCAAATGCTTGACAAACTTTACATGCAAATAAGTCGTATCCGAATATATTTGTATTTGTATTCATTTATTTACTCAATAGTTGCTGCAATGCTGACACTTTTTTAATAATCGAAAAATTTACATTCGGTTTTGTGGTTTCGTAATTTGCATAAATCAATTCGAAATTATCCACTGCGACCGGTATCACATTTCTAATTATGTTGATGGCATTTTTAGTTTGTTTAATTTATGCAAATGGAACGAAATATGTGCGTGTTTGCCAGAGTCACTGATTAATTGTTTGTGGCGGGTTAATTATTTTTTGTAATATAGAAAAATACTAGTTGCAGCACACGGACTTTGCAAACACGCAGTGCGGCAGTAATTTCCTTTTGTTGTTCAAGTGGCAATTTAATTAAGCCATTTAAAGGCCCTCAATATTAGCAATTAATATTAATGTGACCGCATAAACGCTTGCGACAGTTTACACGATTTAATTATAGATTATGGCCATCTAATAAATTATTTAGCCAAGCCTTCGCTATATTTTTAATTCTTTTTACTTTAATGGATATGCGGGCAATAGCTTTAGTCTATTAAAATTAATTGTAACTCTAAATAAGGGACAAACTCATTTGGTTATACTAGTCTGCTAATTTATTTCATTACTTGTATACTAAAATTTAAATCACTTTATGGCATGGCAGGAAAAATTTACTGGCTGTAATTTTCATACATTATTGCAATAAAATTAAATTTAATCCGTTTAATAATAAATTTTGTTGCCTGTATATAAATTAACCATATTTTGTATTTCATCTCAAAAATATTGAAGGACTAATTAAATTGATTTTAAACAGAAAGGATAACTTACAATTTAATTTAATTTAATAGTACTATTTGACAAAATGTAATTTTAGTTAATTCAGTGATTATGCAGGTCTGGTGGCTTCATTTAGTTTAAAAAAGAATTAACCAAATTAATTTATGGTATTAGTTAAACATTTTTTAATATTTAAATTTGGGCAACTAAAGGACAAAGTCTCCTTCTCCTGGAACATCTAGTTTATTATGCCAATTAAAAGGACTCTAATGGCAATGCGATTTGTGTCCAACAAGGCGATATTGTGCAGTGATTACGCAGCACAGTGTTTCCTCTTAATTGGAATCATCTTTTAATTGCCATATTAAGCACGCTCGATAAGTATACGCAGTGTGGCACTCATACACCGGCGCACACGTATCCTGTGCACACACACAGATACACACACACACACACGCACAGTCACATATACAATGGCAAGCAATTATGCATGAAGACGGCATTTAGTTGAAATTGATTGCTCACCAAGCGGAGACAGTTCCTAACCGAGTTGCCGAGAAGCGGAGCACTAACCCCAAGTATTCGATGCATCCTTTGAGGACTTTCAGGTGTTGAGATGTGTTTGCCTTTGTGCGTGTCTGCGTATCTGTGTGCACTCAATTAAGCATCTTGGCCATGGCCAACACACAAATGCTCAAATACTGCCGGTCCACACACATTTTCCGGCTGCACTGGACAGCCGCTGGCTCGTTAATTGATAAACATGGTTCCGAAAACTTTTCTGCCGAATTGCAAAATTTTCTGACATCCAAAATTTTGATTGCATACTGTGAAAGTGAAGTTGAAAAATGTGATCAGGCAGGAAGACACGTACTTTTGGAAAAGCCCAGCTGTCATACTTTCGCATATTGAAAAAGTTTTCAAATATTTAAGCTTTAAATTCAAGATGAAAAGGACTTCCAATGATTTTATTTTAATATGAGGATGTATTATTATTAAATGTTATATTTTTATGTAACTCATATTTCGCAATTTCAAAGTTAATCCTTGACTTTTCCCCCAGCAAACATTTTTCAATATCCTTCAATAACAAACTTCTGCTTCATTTATTCATACATGGCTGTACAACCCAAAGCAAGTTTACCTCTCAGCTCAAATTGGAAATAAATCGAAATGCTTGACCCAAAAACCCGGAGAAATTCCATTTATTAATGCAAAATCGGAAATTTGTGCGCACATGTGTGAGTCCTGGTCGAAGGTCCTGCAGAAGGCAATATCCTTCGACGGCTCCATTTATTACGATATTTATGTGGAGGGCGTAAATCAAGAGCACAAATGGCACGGAATTAATAAATGAGTCCATACGTGATGAAAATTTTGCTTTATTCTTGCTTTATTTGATTATTTTTCTCAAAACATTTTCTCTGAAGGGAAATCCTCAAGCGGCAGGTTCAATAATAAATTTCCCCTACCATGGAAGGCACTTCGAATTCATTTGCTGGTTTATTTTTTGCAGTCCTTTCATATTTTATGTTAATTAAACTTGTTGCCCTGCTTTTGTTGCAACTTGAAACCAATTACGCAGGATGTGAGTGGGCGTTCCCACACACTGACAGTCTGTTATGCTGCTTAATTCCTTCAACTCTAACTCCTGGCTGCAGCTCGTTACTTCGTTACTTAGTTTTGACATGATGCACGGATGGCGAGCGGGGCGTGGAAAGCGTTGGAAAAGCGTCGGAAAAGCGGGAAAATCATACGGCACACGGGGACGGGGGACGCTCTCCAAAGCGTGAAATAACTTCCGTTGCAAATTTCATTTTCGTTGCACACATTTTTTATTCACACAAAATGCACAATGCAGACACATGAAGCACAAGAGGGCAAGTGTGTGCAGGTCCTGTGTATATGGCAACGTTCGCATTTCAGTTTGAAAGTTTGTTAGCCCTCTTGGTAGTGAATGCGTTTTAATGAGCTTCAAATTATGACGGCAAATAAGCTGGGGATCACTTTACCTTCTTTATGCTTCTAAAATCATAATTGAATAAATAAGGCTTTGGAAAATGATGCTAGGTGGGCTGATCTTTAATTTAATATATCTAATATTGTTAAGTCTTTAATATTTTAAATATTTGCGATACGGTTTTAACAAATTTTAGTACTCACTTGAATCTAACAGCCAACGAATTTTTGTTGATGGCATTTTTTGCTAACATTTATTTTACACAAATTTTTGTATTTTGAGTTGAAGTGACTACTATGCTTCAAGAGTTAAGGCCTTCAAGGGAAATTGTAAAAGTACATTTAATTTAATAAAATGATAGACTTTAAAATCCCATGTAAGCCATCGAGTCAGAATTTATCTAAATGCAGAAATATTCACATCTACATTTTATAAAACAAAACAAATGAAATGGGATTTAATTAAAAAATGTATTTTTATATTTTTTGTATATTGCAAACTCCAAAGGTGCACAAAAATGTATTTCAGAGAAGTTTGTTGGGAGCCTTAGGCCCTACTGAATTTATTTGTGCAAGTGTTGAAGTGCTGAACAACTTAAATTAAAATGACTTTGTCAAGTTTTTTTTTGTTTTACGTATACTTGCGAAATTTCTCCTTGCTATTCAGTTTGCCTTCCAGATGCGACTTTTGTGCCGCCATGAAAAATAAAGTGCTGTAAATAATTTGAATTTAATACTATTTGCCCTTGTTTTTGATGCTTTTCCCCCAAGTTTGTAATTATTTTCTTACTTCGTTTGCCACAAGTGTGAAAATCAGCAGAACTTTTTCGTGTGAAGCCATTTTCCTTGTTTTTCAGTTCTCTTTTTTTTGTTTCGGTGTGCTCTTTTTTAATGTAGCCCCAGGAAAGTCACAAAAAGAGAAGCAAAGTTTTTTATGGTGGCCCAAAGTTGGGAAAGGATTGGGTCCGTCCGCCCATTAAAAATGTAAAGAAAATAATTTAGTTAAATATTCGGTCAGTGGTTTGCAGCTAGAAACCTTTTGCCAATCGTATAAGAGTTGAATTGGAGTTGGTTTGGATCTTGGATAAGCCGGAGAAACTTTTCTCTTCGCTCGATTGTTTTCCACCACCAAAAACGATCAGCCGGGAGGGGAAAACCACCACCCACTTTGCGGTATTGTATATATTTTTGGTTCAAGAACATTTTCAAAGAGAGAAAAAGAGAGAGGAGAGATGGAGGAGGGCGGTAGAGTGAAAGCGCACTGATAACACCGGCTGTTCCTCAAAAACAAAACCGGTTTTACAGAAATCTCTAACTAAACAAGAATATATTTTTTAATAATAAGTAATATTAAAATATTTAGCCAGGTAATACCTATATTAATTTACTTATGTGTACAGTGAGAATAACTTAAAATATTTAACACATGTGCAATTCAAAACAATTTTCTTGTTTTCCCACGAAAATATTTTTTTAATAGAATTATTTTTTGTATTATTATGAACGTAAAGACCTATAAATCATATAATGTAAAACATTAAAATAATATTATTAATATTTAAAGCAAAGGAATTCACTAACACGAGCGGGACCTGTACTTCGTTATTTGTTTGTATATTGCGGGTCTGCTGTCTGATTTCCGGGTTTCCAAAGTTTAGACTGCACTGACCGATTGCAGAGCTCACACGTTCACGTCATAACACCAGACATACGAATTTATTTATAACTAAAAAAAATAAAACCATGGCTACAATGGATGATTTTTTCAATAAAGTGCAAAGAAAGCATCCCACAATTCTCGATGACTTGCGGGAAATTTTCAAAAACTCCCAGAGCGATTCACCGCAGCGGTCTATTACTTTATCCCAAATACGTGGCAAGTATTCTCAGAATTTTTTCGCTAGGCAAAAATACCTAATTTTTAATTGCCATTGCAGCTGCATACAGTCAACGAACTGGCGAGGATTTTCCCGTCAAGGGAAGCACGCGAACCCAAATGTGTTTTGTCCTGACAATCCCCTATATCGCCTGCTTTACCAGTCGAATTGGCACATTGCGATTTTTCACCTTCGAGGCGAATCAGGAATAAGGGAGCATACGAAAACCTCATCTAGTCTTACCCGTGCAATTTCTGTATACCTATTTATTATGCAATACATATTTAATACAGTACTCTAAATTATATAATAAACATCATAAAGATTTAAGAATCGTTTCTATTCTACTTAGATTTTAAAAGTGAAAAATAACTTTTTGATAAAAAAATAAAAATATGATTAAATTTACATAATTAACTTAAAAACATGAACATCGAGAAGACCTATTTGGAACTGCTGAACTAGTAAACAAATGCTGATTGCGACCTATCGCAATAAACGACGTATACTGGGTCAAACTGCTGCAAAATAACTCTATGACCCCTTTTCATAAATTGATGACGTAAACGTTTTATAATTAAACAGCAGATAGAGCATTGAAAATTTAGTTTAAAACCACTTTTATTCTAATGATGGTAACTTTTCTTACATTTTAAAATTTAAAACAACTGCTGTTATAATTAATTTTTCTATCTAATCTGCAATTTATTTTTTTAAGTTTTATATATATTATTTTTTGGTCTCATCCTTGATGAACAGACTGACCAAGGAAATTGCTTACTACTCCCTTGTATGCTTACTTTGTCGGAACAAATTCTAAAGCTATATTATTTTATTTTTAAAGTAATACATGGAAATAGAAAATACTGTTCACTTAGCGAGGTTACACACCATTGACCAAAATGGTTCTGAGACCCAATAAAGAACAAGTATAAGAGAATTGATCAAGTATAAGACCAATATTTTAATATATTCTTTGTATAATAATTACTTAATTTTTTTAATTTTATCGAAAATATACATTTTAGCCCATAGATATATTCTGTTTCAAATAGCATTTGTATACATAACATATTAGGGTAAGTAACGCTTAGTTTTTTTTAAATCCAATTAAATTAAAAAAAAGACTTAATAACTCTAGCATACAACATTCATAATTTTGTTATTGTTGAGTAATAATAATAATAAAAGTCAAGTTAAATAAATTATTTGAGTATTCGCAAGCTTTCGCTTGGCCAGCGGCGACAACGTTCAATTTCGATTTAAATGCCATACGCTGTTGTTTTTTGCGCTGCAGCTGCCAATTGTAATTTGGGCCATGGCGGAAATCAAACGACGACAACAAACAGCGCCGGGAAAGTCGGAAAACCCCTATGCAAAGAAAAGGGGCGAGTGACAGCGTGTTGTTGCACGTTTGCACATCAAATCAAATGTATTTGCTGCGGCAGCTTTGTGAAACAAAAACCAGAAAAAGTGGAGCAGCCAAGGCAAACAGCCAACAAACCGAGCAGAAAACAAACAAATTCCGAGGTTGCAGTTTTAGTTTTGGGAAAGTGCAGGGAGTTGGGTCACGCAGTCGCAGAATCGTGGGGACCAGAAGCACAGCATAATGAAACTAAATGCCGGGCGAAGGAGTGAAACCCCAAAACAAATTCATTACAGAACTACACCTCAGGGGGTGATAATTCGATTCAACGAAACTTTGGTGATTATTTATTGCTTCATGCGGCGACTCTGACTTTCTCTCTGTGGCCGGGTGGTTTTTTCGGTGGGGTTTCCCTGGTTTTCCCTGGGTTTCCCGTTGGCCTGGCCCAGTCCCCTTGGTGTTTTGCTGTTGGTGTCATAAAATGTTTTGTGGCCCAAAACTCGGCACTGGAACTCATTATTTTGTTCATTAACACTTTTTTTGCCTGTGTTTTGCCCTCATTTTATTCCATTTGGTTTTTGCTATTTTCCTTTTTGTTTTGTGGCTAGAGTATAAAAAGTTAGGATGGCTAGAATATATTATCTAATAAAACAGGCCACTTTTATTTTGATGAACCTTAAGTTACTTCGGTTTTATTATAATACAATAAATTATGTCCCAGCCATAATCATAGCTTTTTCTTCGTTAAAAATATGTTTATTTATTAAGTTTTTTTTAAATGTTTTTTATCACACAGGGTATTTATACGTTCATCAAAAAATATACTAACTATCCACTTATTTATGCCTCAACTTTCGTCTCTTGATGTGGATTTCCTCCAGGACTATCAATTAAATTTTCCTATCTGAAACAGCACAAATAAACAGTGCTTTCGCCTGACCTTTTTTTTAGCTTTTGCCTGACAAATTTTATTTATGAGCCTTAAAATATATATGCCGAAAATGGTTTCAAGTTTATTTTTGCATACAGCTGCTGTTGTTTGCTTTTAGTTTTTCATGGACATAAACATTTTTTATGCTTCATTAAGGTTTTGTTTTCGCTTTTACTTTCCGTTGTTGTTTTGGTTTTGTTTTTGTGCTTTTTGGGGTCGACTTATCAGTCGCCAAGTTGAAATGTTGTTAACTTTTACTAGCTTTGGCTTTAATTCATCAGAAGGAGGCTGTTTTGGGCTCACAGATCCTTGCCTTTTGTGGTCTATGGCACTTTGCCGAGTTATAAAATGCTATCGAGGGCGCAGGTTTTTATGTCTCAGGGTCAGATAAATGTGTTTATAGTGTAATCTTTTATTAGGGCTCTTCTGGCAAATGCTTTGGGTCCACAACCACATCTACATCCTCATCGACTGCCGTTTAATTTCTGCGGTCTTTTATTTTTGCGTCCCACTGAGTTGGGTCGACGGCTGAATGAGGGAATGTTTATGACACGCATACGCAGCGTGGTACGTAGTTAGGAGAGATTTGTCGTGGGATTAGACAAAACGTTAAGAGCTGGTAATTAAGCGGCCCAGTTCCATATATTATGCAAGGAATTAGAGAATTGGGCATAGAGATAGAGCGCCTAACATTAATTAACAAGCGAGATGAAAGCTAAGGGTTTTGTTAAGGGCAGGGAATTTTGTTCATGTAAATTTGAATATCAAATAATATATTTAAATTATATTAACAACATCCAAAACTGAAATACCCCAAAAAAATTCAAAACAAAAATTTAATAATATTTTCCATTGGCAGCTTATTTAATATTCGGAACCAGAAAAGTTGTTCCTGAAGATGAAACGCTTACATTCACAGCAAATTTAGCCAGCTGCCAATTGCCGTAAAGCGTTTATGGTGGCTCTGCTTCCTCGTCCTCACTTCCCATCAGCATCCCGCTCTAATCGCTTCTAATAATGCACAAAATTGAAAAACTTATGCGATATCATTGGGGACTCAAGCCGCACGACAAGTGCAGCTGCCCTAGGGGGGGATTCCCCAAGAACTGGACCCGACAACTTGTGACAACCTTAAGCACATGGGGCACGGCCAGCAAAGTAAACAGAAGAATGGAAAAAAATAGGAAGTAGAAAAGATATAGTTGGGCTTCTCGACCTTGAGATACCCACCTAACTAACTAAACATTCGTTGTAAAAAATATAGAAAATTATATTAATTAGCAACATCAATTTGCAATTTTGGATTACATTACTTTAAGATATATCAGATGGATTTTTAAAATATAATATTAGGCTTTAAATGAGACCAGACAGGTTATGATAAAATTGGCTTACAACTATCACTGTTCTTCAGAGCAGGTTCTCTGCACATGAAGAACTCGGTTAAGAATTCCCTTTTTTCTACCTCTTAAAGATATATACTATATCCCTTTGCCTTCCTGAGTACTAGGTATATCAGAGGGAGTAAAAGCGGGTAAGAAAAGAAATAAGTAACGGGAGGAAAACTGTCATGATACGCCCGTAAACATGGCCAGCTGGCCAGGATTGAACCGTCGGATCGGTTTGGTTTGGTTTGGTTCGGTTCGGTTTTGTTTGGTTGGGTCGTCCTGGCCCAGTGTCCTGGTATTTGCTTTGCCCTGTGTGTGTCACTTTGGAAATTGTGCAGATTGTACAGTCGCAGGGCGTGCGGCGTCTGTTTGTTTTAATTTCTCTTATCGGCAGGCAGCTGCCTTGTGTTTTCCACCCACCCACGCACACTTCGTCCTCGCAAAAGCTCCTTTTTCTTTACCATCTACTTGGGAGCTGAGCTGCTTCTGCCTGAACTCCCCAGTGCCATACAATTTTAATTGCACAATGGCAGGTCCTTTTGTTTTCCAGCTGCAATTTTTCTAAAATGAATTCATGGCCTGGTCTCGGGTTCTCGGGGTTATTCTGGCGCTCTTTTGTTTGACGTCTCTAAATCCGTATGGAGTTGTTGGCCCGGCAACCAGCTAGCTATTTAATTGAAAGTTGCTTTGTGACTCCGCCGGGTGGGCTAATAAAATGTTTAACTTTGATTTAGTTGAGGGATTTCTAAAATGAATGCACTTAATGTCGCTTTAGCGACTCATTGGGGCAACTTTACCTACAAAGAAACATTTTAATAATGGTTATGATTACTTTTTATTCTCGGAAATATATTATAAGGTTACTTTTCTGTCTTGATTAAGCTAACAGCAAGGTAAATATAATTTTCTTTGTTTAAATCATTTAAATAGAAAATTAAATTTACTAAATTCAATAAATTAAAATCACTTAAAATCCTCTTACATGAATTAATTTATTGTCATTTAGCTTTCACAAAGTGTGTTATTTATCAATCTTTTAAATTTCGATAATTGTTTTGGCAGCCCACCTGGCAGAATTTATTAATTGCCCATCGTATGTTCTTTTAATTACTACTTTTAGCACCTTTCTGCCAAAGGCGAAGGTGTTTTTGGGTGTGATTTGAATTATGAGCAATTAGGCTAGCCACAAACAAGCAAAATGGTTTTTTGGTGAGGGCAATGGGCAGTGGGTGGTTGGGTGTGGTAAGTGCTGTTGGACGGGGTCATGTGTCAACACACGGGCTGCACTGGATTGTGGTCAGGTGCATGTGTGTGTGTGGGTGCGTGTGTAATGAGGCTTAATTTGTTAAATTCCATGGCTTATAATTGGCATCGGCCAGACCGCAAGGCACAGCAAAGCAAATCGGGCAACTGGGGCAAGTGCAAAGTGTAATTATGTGGTCACTTGGTCAGCCGTAAACTCAGATTTGTTTGCCAATGTGTGAGTGGGCAGTTTGGACCAAAACTCAAGCTAGTCTTACGAAATCTTTACGACTAAAGCCGCAGAATTGTGCGGGCTTTTTTATGGTAATTTTATGACCGCTGGCTGGGAAATGAAAATAAATATAAGTGCCATTATTGTTACACCTCGGTCGCACTCGAGTTGCAAAAGAGCCACAAAATGCATACAAAATTAAAGTTTGCAAATAAAAGAAGTTAGGTGAAACTACCAGCTGGCAGACTGTAAAATGCTCTACAGGACCTAAAAAAATTATTTATATATATTTCCCTATTTATTTCACAACAATACCAAATCGCTTAAAAAAGTACATTCTTTTCCTGAGCAATACTATCGATATGGCCAAACCATCGATGCTTGTTATAAAACTTAAAGCTATCGATAAAATCGATAGTGAATTATGTACATTTTTTTGCTGAACGATACTGTCGATATCGATAGCCCTCTATTTTTTTAAACTTAAGACCATCCATAAAATTGATAGTACTACTGATCGTTTACAAACCATACTTTGTACCAGATATAAATATCTATATATCTTAAAAGTTACTAAATTCTTAAGAATCCAACACAAAAATGGTTGTATCCTCAACTAAAATTATTCAAACAGAACCCCCAACGGCGGGTAACTTGCAACATGGCCAGTGTCATGGCAAAAGTTTTTAGTTTTCGTTGCTTACTTTCCTATATATTTTTTTATTTCACAACTTTATCCTTTTTCGGGGCGAACGCACATTGCATGCATTTTCCACGGGAAAAACAAGACAGAGGAAAAATCAAAAAAAAAAAAAAATGTAGCAAGTAACTTTTGAGCCATTGTTTTCTTGTAAATGGCAACCGGAACCAACCGGCGATGGGCAGGAAAAGGATAGGGGATTGGATTCATGGACCAGTTTTGGCCATAATCCGCGCCGCCTTTTGTCGGCAGCTGTTTGGCTCAGTTTGGCTGCAACTTTAAAGCTGCAACTTTTTGCCATTGCCTGGCTTAGATGGCACTTTTCTTTTTCCTCTTTTCTCTACCAACTTTTCCCTTCTAAGTTGCTGACATTAAATTCCTTTTGGGGCCAGAAATTCTCAACTCATTCGGACATTCTGTAATTGTGCGTATTATGCGTGTAATTGGCATTACAATTTCCTTCCCAAATGAACTAATGAACTTTTGTAAGGGGGGAGCTCTAAACATTCGAAAAGTGCAGAGTTGAATAGTTTTGCGTACTTGCTGATTGGAATTCCCATTTCACATTTTTGATTGGCTTCTTGAGATGAAGAGTAGACGTTTCATAAATATGTTTTGTTTTTCAGCTTAAAACTGGGGAAACTTCGTAGTTTTTTAAGGACATCCAAACGAAAAGTTAGCAGAAAAATAAAAAATGCTTAGACTTTATATTTAAATAATAGAAATTTTCCAATATTACATTTAAATAAATATACTTAAATTAATAAAATTTTGGCTTAAAAATGTGTAAGTGGGTTTTGAGAAAACGAAACTAGTGCTACAAATATAAGGGATGCTATGCTGGGATAATAAATATATAAATAAACGTATGGAACACGAGTCTTACAACGGCCCTAAAAGATAGGTTATTACTAGTTTGTCTCCAAATTTTAAATACATTTCGCCATGAAGGCAAGCAAAGTGGACTTACCATTTTTCAGTCATTAGTGGGCAGGGCAATTGTAAAAGCATTTTTCAAATTATATGCCTTGCTCTCCGCACTAAAAATTGCTTTATCATTAAAAGTAAATGTGCAAGTTCTGCCAAAGGTCCGAGGTCCAGAGTTTTGTTTCCGCTTTGGAATCCCTTTTATTTTTCCTAAGTTTGGATGCCAACTCGTTAGCTTTGAGGCAGTTGAGAAGTTCAAGTTGTGCTGGCTTTAATAATCCGAGCATCAACAGCCGGCAAAAACAGGCTAAAACAGAAACTTCCAGGCAAGTTGCAGGGCTCAGGGGGCGTGGAGACCACAAGTAACATTTGTAAAATGCACATTTAAAACTCACAGACACACACAGCAGCAGAAGTAGCAGCTAGCTGGCCGAAAAAGGATAATAAGAAACGCCTTTCGCCTCCTGGCTTGACTTCAGCAGCAGCAGCAGCAGTGGAAACTTTTCAATTTATTGTTAAACTTTTGCACTGAGGCGCACAATTATAAAGTGTCATTTAGTGCCAGAGGACGAAGGACGAAGGACGAAAGAGGAGTAATGGGATCGTATCCAGGATCCGGCACCGGTACTGACAGCGAATTATGAAGAGTGTTGGCCGCCCACCGACCGCTGACACTTGCGGCAGGCCACTTCCGGTGGCAGTGCAGTGGGCAGGAGGACGACATTGTCCTTGTTGTCATCATCGTCCTCATCGTCCTCGTCATCCTCAACGACCTCGTCGCCGTTGGACATTTTCGGCTGCCTCCTGCCTTTTGCCCCCCTCCTGCTAAACTTGCCACTCAAGTGCAAGCCAGTTTCATGCGGCGCATTCAAGTGCTGTTGTCGCTCCTTGTTGCCGGCAAAGTGTCACAAACACAAATAGAGAACGCTCCGCCGCACTTGCGGCTCCTGCTCCTGCTCCTGATTCTCCCCCAGATTCCCCTCAAAAATTCTCCTCGGGATTCAGTTCGTCCTGCCCCGGCTGCTGTGTGATTTACAGCGTGCGACTTTTATTTGAAGTGGGACATTCATTTTACGCTAAAGTGAACCTAAATCAACACCATTGCACAAACACAAGCTAACGAAATACCCGAAATGTTCCACTCCTGGCTGTGGTCGAGAATTTTAATTAAGACCGGGCCTACTTAAATCACATGGACTAATAAAGATTAGTTAACTGCAACTGGTATATTAAGTTGGGCATTGGCAATCATATTAATGGATTAGGTGTCCTTATTTAAAAAGTAGTTCAAGTGGACGATTATTGAAATGCAAAGTTTGGAAAGCATCGATGGTGGGCTCCATCGATAGTTCTGGCTATCGATAGTGACCATTATACATTATCGATACTATTGAAAATTGTTTCACTTTACCGAAAATAAATAACAAATGGGGGAAACATAAACATTTTTATAACGGAATCTTACTGCTCGAGATTTTGTTATTGTTGAAAAAATACAATCTGAATCTGTAATAAAATTAATATGAAAGTTTGACCAAGAGCCATAAAGTTTAAAATACCGTCCTCTAACAAATAAGTTACAAAAAACGCTTTTTTTCTAAAAACTATTTAAATACTTCTGTTATTAATTGTAAGGCTATCGATAGTATCGATAGTGCTATCGATTATTTTGACAGACCTAGTAATCAGCGCATCCACAAAGTAATCTCTTTTTTTGAATACATATATTAAAGTAAACTAAACATCAAATTTAGGCACAGAAATTACTAAAAATCTAAAAGTTTATGGAAACAAAAAACGCTTTTGAGAAAAACGGCATTTTTTATCGCATAGTAAAATATGAAATGAAATAGCAATCAACAATGAACAATTAACTAAATATTTTCGTATTTGATCCGAATTTAATTATGTCTTTATTTTTTGAGAGCCCTGACTGCGATTTGGAATTGCCCTGGAACGCAGTGGCCAAACGCTGGGAGTCGTCTCTAGTGGCGACGTTTGATTGAAATGCCTGGTAGGCCAGGCAGCCAGCCCTGCAGCTCCTCGGCCCCCGAAGCAACTGCCAAGCTGCTCCGCACTTAAGTTGGCTTAATTAGTTTTTGAAAGTTATGCCAACGCCAGCGCCTGTGCCACAGCCACGCCCACTTAATGCATTTGGTTTTTCTGCTGCCCTCTTTTGGCCCCAAGTCTTTGGTGGGAAAAGTGAAAAAAAGAGCAGAAAGCCAAAGGGGCAACTCTGCATTGGCGTCTTGGGCTGGCAACCACAACAGAAGCATCCGGCCAAAAGTGATGGCGATGCAGGGGATGAAGGCCAAGTTCCGCTTTTGACACGGCATACTTGGCCCCCAGTTTCGCTGCTCAAATCAGCAAGCTATCAGCCAGTGGTTACAGGGTATTAGGGACATAACTAAAAGTATTAACTTACAATTAGCTGTTAGGATATGTATTAATTTTATTGTTGGCATTAGGCGAATAAATGATTTTTTAAAATTTTCTATGCGGTAATATAGAAATAAAATCCATTTTGCTTACAAAAATGAGTAAAATTATCAATTGGTTTTTGACCTATTATACATATCATTGTTTTTTAAATAAATAAAACCATATATTTCTTTTTATTCTTATAAATTCAATCTCCATATTTGAAATTCATAGAGGCAATCAATCATTCGTCACTTTTCTGTCAGTGCTGACTTTGATTATTTCGTTTTTTTCTCTGGCATTTTTCCTAGCCGCACATATTTTTCACAGCCACTGCAGTTTTCTCTCCAATTTTCACTTCTTATCCCGAAAGTTCTCTTTTTGTGTTTTTTCACTTTTGTTGTTCGTTATATTTAATTATGGAAATTTTGCAGCTCGCCAAATTTGCATAAATATTGAGTGGCTGCACTGCACTATGGGGAAAATTACCACTTTATCTGGCATTTGCATGTTTTTTAAAAGTTTTCTAATTACGACAATTTTACTGTTAACGCATTAAGAAAACATCAGACTGTTATGCCCCAAACTCAAAATGTTAAATTTAACAGTCCCCTGTTAGAAAAACGGCTGTTAAGTCAGCTGTTGCAATCGAAAGCACGTGCGGCTAAGTTGTGTGAATTTGTACGCTGAGTTTGGATTTTAATATTTAATGATGGAACAACAACTAGAGGAAAACCAAAACATGAATGCTGATCTCGCAGGTTTGCACTGTGTGTTAAATGTACTAAATCGTTAAAATTGTGCGTGTGTATACTAATATTTTGCAGTTTTCTAAGAGCTTCCTTAGCTGAATTTTTAGAAACAAATTTCAACTTTGGAAAGGATTATCTAAGAGAGTTTAGAATTGTTTAAGTGTTTGTCCAAGTGATTGTTGTAGCGTTGTCAATTCTGAGTTTACAGGAATTGGTCCTAATGTCATATTTTTCCATATTTTGGCGGAATTTGCATTTTTATTAGGTAACCTCACTTTTTCCAACGTCGACTTGTTTGCAGTGTGGAATAGCGAGAGGGGCCGGCACGAGCGAGAGAAGGCCGTTCAAAGATATTTTGAACTGCATGCGTGCAATAATGTGGATGATAATATTTTAAAACATAAAAGTCACCAATTTTGCAACAATTTGTATTACAACTGGCTTAAATGTCATAGCTCTTATAAGAACTTCGAAACAAAACATTCCACATGGATGAAAGGCAACACAACTTTGCCTTTAAAAAAAAGTAACAGACCAGTTGGACGACCACTACTTCCATTTGAATCGAAAGGCGAAAGGGCTCAAAGACTGCAAGCAGCGGAACTTTCCAAATTCCAAGGGGACGATGTTTTTTTGCTAGTACATGCAGCAACCGCAGCTGCCCGGAAACAAGGACTACATGATCTTGCTGCAGTTCTTCAAATACTAGGAAGTACCCCGGAAAAAGCCAAGCAAGTCAGAGAAGGATTGACAAAGCCCGTTGATCAGCCTATAAGTGCGTCCAAAGACGAAGCGTTGGCATTAATTTTGGATCAAGGATTGACCAAGGAGCAGTACTGTTCTATCCGAGATGACATTCGTAAGAGAAATGTGGATATCTACCCAATTTATAAAAATGTGGCAGAGCAAAAGAAGCAATGCAGACCAGGCAAAATCAATGTATCAGAGACTGTAGCCAAGGTCTCTCTGCAAGACCTTTTGGAACACACAGCTTTTCGGATTGTGACACTTCAAAAAGATGTTATCCATGGTGTATTGGCCAATCAGCACACTGATTTTTTATCTGCTGAGCTCATCGTCAGCTACGGATTCGATGGAAGTACTGGACAGGCGAACTATAACCAGGCATACGCAGATAAAAGATCGTGTAACGGAGACTCATGCCTTTTTGCCACTACCATAATGCCTCTTCGACTCATAGACTCATCCGGAAATTTGTTGTGGAACAATCGCACCCCTCAGTCCATTAGGTTTTGTCGTCCACTAAAATTGGAGTTTCTCAAAGAAACAAAAGAAGTCATTTTAGAAGAGAGCAGGGACATACAATTGCAAATTGAAATGTTGAAGTCAACGATGTTTAAGGTATCTTTAAACGATACTCAATTTGTGTATGTAAGATTCAGTCCATATCTCATTGCCATTGATGGAAAAGTTCTGAATGCATTAACGGACACAAAATCATTTCAAGCATGCCCCATATGCCACTCGAGCCAAAGAGATTTCCTTGGAAATAAAAATTTCAAGTGCTTAAAATTTTTGCCAGTTTCAGACAATCTGAAATATGGAGTAAGCCCACTTCATTGCTGGATAAGAATTTTTGAGTTCGTCTTGCATGCTGGGTATAAGCTGGAGGTAAAGAAATGGCCAATTACTGATCCATGTGACAAGCAAGCGATGCTAAAACGAAAGGCAAGTATACAGGAAATGTTTTGGGCAAAACTGGCTTTGAAAGTCGATAAGCCGAAGCAGGGGGGTTTTGGAAATACAAATACCGGAAACACTGCACGTCGCGCGTTTGCCAACTTCAAAAAATTTTCCGAAATAACTGGAGTTGATCAACAAATAATCTACAATTTGAGGATCATTTTGATATGTTTGTCTTGTCAATTGCCAATAAACTTAGAAAAATTCGAGGCATACTGTCACCAAACTGGCGAAATGATTGTGGACAGTTATCCATGGCTCCCCATGACACCAACACTCCATAAAATTATTGTGCACTCAAGGCAAATCATGGAAAATACGGTGCTTCCAGTCGGCTGTTTTGGTGAAGAAGCGTCTGAGTCCCGCAACAAAATTTATAAATCGGATAGACTTCATCACTCCAGAAAGCACAGTCGATTTGAATCTTTAGGCGATGTGTTTAAACGAGCTTTGGATACATCAGATCCAGTGATTTCTTCCCTAAATTTATCGCGACGCATAAAAAAACATAAAAATCTTTCCCTTCCCATTGAGGTTATCCAGCTGCTCTCGTGTGAGCACGAATACATAAGTGATTTTTCAGAACAAGATGAGCTTGAAGACAACAGTCTATTTTTTCTTGAAAACTTCGAGCTGGAAAATGAAGAAAATGATGAAAATAAAGAAAATTAATTAAAAACTGGGTTTTCACAATTTTTAGGGCGGGAGGGGGCGTGGCGAAACTCCTATCTACAACGTAAGCACGTAGAGGTTACTGAATTTGAAAAGTTAATATCTAAAAATGCATGTAAAATATTATTTTTTCGATTTTTTGGGCAAAAGGGGCGTTGACACGCCCATTTTTCTAAAATAGGTTCTTATGGTCTATAACAACATAATAAAAAAAACCGCAGTGAAAAATCTCTTTTGGTTTACTCACAATAATAAATGCCAGATAAAGTGGTCATTTTCCCCATAGTGCACTGGGAGTTGGCTTTATAATGAAGTTTGATTGCCCTGCGACTGCGCCAGAAAATTGCATTTGTCGAAACGAAAACGAATCAGCCTTAAAATATACAAATAAGGACTTCAAAAAGAGTAACGAAATTTAAAAGAAAATATTCTGTCTATGCTAGCAGAATAGAAAATACTTCTTAGATATGCTTAAACAAATAATTAAACAACTAAACATTATAGTTAGATAAATAAATGTAGCATACTAATTTTTCTTAAGTCGAATTAGCCACGGGCAATGTCACTTATCCACATTTGGTTTCCCAGCCGTCCTTCAAAAATGGATGTGAAACCGAAATGCTTTTATGCCCCATGTGGCAGCAACGAGAGCTGCACACATTCATTTCCAATGAGACTCATTTTGCGGTGACACACGGCACTCGCACCGCCCCAGCCGCCCCGTAAACCACCCACAATCCTGGCTGATCCTGGCCAGAGTGGCTTTCCGGCTCTTTTACAGCTGAGCGGTTGCACACAGACACAGTGGGTGCCACAACCGCAGGCGAGATGCGGCAGAAGAGCGGTGGATTCGTAGAGCTCTGGACTTCGCTGGTCCGGAGACCAGGCTAGAAGGCCAGAAATTAACTTTACTACTGACACCTTGACAATATTTTCAACGACAGCAGCTGGCAGACATTAAATAGGCAACCGCAGGACACCGAGGAGCACATGACATTTGACATTGCGTGCATTGCATAAGCTTAGGCGCTGGCATAGACCAAAATCCCGAGTCGAAATCCAGCTGACAACTGGCCGGAGAGAAGGCTTCGACTCGATGTTGATTTTGGCAGACAGCGCGCTGAATTTTCAATTTTATTTGCAATTTCGGTTTTCGGCATTTTTCTGCTGAGGCAGCAGGGTCGTGGAGCGAGATTGCCACTGCAGCAGGAGCGGGCCAAGTGTCAAAGGTGACGACGTGGCAGCAGAATGGCCAGAACGCCCGAACGTGCCTATGTCAAGTGTGGTGAGTAGATTTAACAAGGATATTTGGAAACGGAACTTTATCAGCGTCACCTTGGACAACTAATTTAAATTCGATTTAGGAAGACTTTAAATTTTAATTGGGGAGGCTAAATGCGTGTTAATTTAGTAGTTTCTCAAGATAATTATTTTACTACTATTTTATTTTGATTACAGCACAAGTTTAACAAGCTAAAGGCATATAACAATGCAATTATTAAGGGAAACTAAACTAAACGATTTCAATTAGAATATATAGCATACATTTAAGGGCCTAATATAAATAAATAGGATTAACATATATTGCCTTATCTAAGAATGGCTTTAAAGAACTTTTGAGATCTAATAATAATAATATTTCAATGTATACCAAATGAAGAATAAGAAGTTTATGTATAAAATATTCAAGACAACATTTTTCCAGCTTGGTTATCAATTTTCGATGCAAATGTGTTGGTACAAAATTGAAAAGTGCGTTTTGGTTTTCCCCATTTCTTTTCCAACCATCCATTTCACATGCAGCCGGCAATCGGCAAACAAATTATGTTAGCGATGATATCAAGTGAAAAATTATCCGAATATTCAGTTCGCAGCGTTACATGCAGCATGCAGCATGAAGCATGCAGCACTTGCCATCCCCGAATGCATTCATAAACGGATCGGGCTGCCAAATGCTGCCGGATGATGCGGATGCGAGCCATGAATCAGGCCATTCCTCCATTCCGAGCGGGTGAAAAGCCATGAAAGCAGCTTCTGAGTGGCTGGCTCTTCCGACGGCTCATTCATTATGCCAACGGCAGAAGCTGGTTGGGAATGGGGCTCTTAGCTCTTAAAGTATTATGCAATAAGTTAACTTTTTCCAATATAAGCAGCCGAGTGCCAGCAGCAGTTGGCGAACTTGCCTGTTGCTCGGCTACTGCGTCAAAGATGCAGCATATTTATTTTGGCCAGGCTAAAGACGAACCGGCACTCAGAGAAAATTAGAAAATATTATTTAAAAGAGAAAAGGTTCTTTCTAAAATAAAGAAAAAAAAGAAATCTAAAACTATTCAAAGTAAATAAAATATTATAAAATAACGATCTAATTATAGTAATAAATATTTATGTAGTGTAAGTATTTTAAAATAAAATCGCACATGTTTATAAAGCATAAATAAATTTTCCAACAAATGTTATGTTATTACAACTAATAGTAATTAGTAATTATTGAATGGAATCACACATATTTTTAAGGCATTTCTCCCACTGTCTTTGCCTGTAGACTTTTCTGCATAAGTGATTGCCGGCAACGTGGCGTATGTGTAATTTGTCGTAGCTAGTGCGACTGTAGCACAGCTGCTCTCAACTTTGTTATGTTACACTGCGGACGGAGACAGAGCAAACTGCATTAAATGCACATTTGTTACGCAGCACAAATTCAGCTTCCCTCCTCCTCGACTCCATCAGTATTTCTCTGTGTCGCAGGGAACACCTGGACTGGAGGAGATTCTCTGCCGCAATTCACCAAAAATTCTTTTCTCGTCTCCGCCTTTGTAAATTGGCAATTTATTTCAATGCCTGCAACGTCAATGGTCTAAACATTTTGTGGCAAAATTCCTCTTTTAGCCCAATGCAGCACAAAGCGACAGTTTTACACATGGCAGGGCAGCTGTGAAAGACGATCAATTGGAGCATATCTCCGGAGTAAACTAATTTGAATTTTCGGTTGCTGCTCTGTTTTAATTTAAGTTTATTTGCTGGCCAGTTGCGAGAATCAATTTGATTGATTAGAGAGAAAGGGAAATGTTAATTTAATGGCCATTAAAGCTGCATAATTGATTTTGTGGACTTGTCTCTGCTAATTCCATTGAAATATTTTCTGACAAATTTCTGTACAGCAGTGATGGTCTTTTGGCTTTTTCCCAGACAGAAGTGCCCTTTTTTGAAGGTCTGAGCAAAAAAAATTTCAACTATACAAAATTAAATATTAATAATCAATATATTGTCCAAGCCAATGTTCGATTCAAAAATATTTATAAAAAAAACTAATTTTGTTATAATAAAGAATTGTTTGAAGATTATAATATATTCAAACCTATGTACTATGTACTATCTTGTCTGTTTTTAAAAAATCAATACCTTCTCTACTTTATTTTGAAGATCTGACTTGTTCAGCTCTGCTGTGCTACCACCGAAATATAAACATGGGAGCAGTGGATTTGCCCACGGCTTGAGCCAACAGAAAACAATGCATTTTCATTTGGAAACCACGAGCTTGGGGTCACAGCATTTACCCGGTGAAAGCTCCTCCACTATTCTGCTATTCTATCCCATAGCCGCGGGCCCAGCTCATTATCCGCACGTCCTGTTCGAGGGATGTACCAGTATAATGGCATGCATTAGTCATATATATCTGCACACGTATCGGCTGGTGCCGTTGTATGTGAATGTGGATCCTTGGGGCGTTAAAAGTATAATGGAGATACGCACGCGTAGGAACAATAACCTTAAAGCGCGAGTCTAATTAAGATACCCATCCACATACACTGGATCTTTCCAACCTCTTCAATATTTCAGCCAGCGGCAGATTTGGCCAAAACAAAGGGAAACATTTTTACTTTTTAATGGTCGGAAGATACGGCATGTATGCAAAGCAAAACCGGTTAAGTTAGAGCAAACAAAAAGGTCGAAGCTGTGAGGAATAACATTGTTGTTAAGCATCAATGTAGATAAATGAACCAGATTTTGAGGGGTTTATGAACAAGAAGAACAATGTTCGTCTTTGTTTCTGAAAAATGTGTATAGAGAAGTTCAGCTTAAGCGGAAGGGTAAAGATTCAAGTAAAACACGTGAGATGTGTTTAGGATTGGGATAACATCAATAGTGGGCACCATCGATAGTTTTGGCTATCGACAGAATCCACTATCGATATAATCGATACCATTAAAAATCATAGATAATTACAAATTACAAAAACAAAAGAAAACCCAAAATAATTGTAATTGAGAGCTGGTTCTTGAAAACTGATGCTTATAGAAAAAATCTATCTTAATTTTAACGTACTTAAAATAAAACGATGTTCAATTGTTGAACGTTTACATTATGTTAAAAGTACTTATTTATTGCGCAAGAAATACCAAAAATCACATTCAATATTATATTATTTTTCTGAGTGATACTATTCATGTTGAGTTCAAGCCATAGATGTTTCCTGAATTTGAAAACCATCGATAGTATCGATAGTGCTATCGATCCTTCTACAAATACTATGCTTTATTGTTCTCTTGTTAACAAAAATTGTTATAACGCATAAGACCTTTTTATTAAAAAAACCAACCTCCCAAATAAACATAAGTCCAACTTAATAACTGAATTTATATTGCTAGCAACCAGTCCCCAACACAATAAATAAAGTTTGAGCCCGGCCAACAGATCTGGGCCAAGTTGACAATAATTCAGAGTAACGCGAAACAGTCGCTAAACTTCACGAGCTCAACGCAACTTGTCTCGTAATTTTTATTAATTTTACACCATTGGAGGCTGAAAAGTTTTTACATTATTTTGGATTCTCTCAGAATGTTTTTTCCCTTTTCGTCAGGCTTAGCGGCTGCTTACAAGCGCTTTGGCTTGTCCTTCGGGGAGGATTCTTGGAGTCGAAGGAGGCATAAGAAATTATAATAAAAAACTTTGAACTTTTTTTGTTGCTGAAGAAACATAAAAATTTTTTCTTTTACTTTTGTGTTCCACTTAAACGGATGTGGCGGACTGGGG